GCTGTTGAAACTGATCAGTTTCAGCAGCGGCTGAATCTGGATGCCAGTTCCGACTTACATACAGATTCAATTTAAGAACAAACCTAGAGTCCCTATCTTGTACGTAACCCGGGGACTGCCTGTATAACAAAATGTTCTTCGAGGAGCATCGCTGTGGGTGCTCAAATGTAAGTGTCTCTGTGTCCCTTCACTTATAATTGGAACTTTTTAGCAGCAGTACTCTGGGTGCTGATGGGCATGCACAGTGCCGCTCACTCCGTAGTGAGCATGCTGATGTACATGTGTCATCAACTGTCCCCAGTTCCTTCTCAGCCATCTTAGGCTTGGTCAGAACCTAGCAGCGCTCTGATTCTTTATAGCAGCTAAAATTGTTGTTAGTGTAGTTTTTCTAGTTAAAGGAAGCTCTAGTTAATTTGTGCACCATCAGTACTGTTATTTCCACCACTGTGCCCGTGGACCATGCAGCAAGAGCGGGTGGTCACATCGGTACCGGGTACCCCCCTATTTGGCACTGACACCACTCCTATGCTTGAGGGACCGAGTAGGCTTCTCACCCCCTCTAGCTTGGCTCCATCCTTTTCTAGTGAGAGTGAAGATGATGAAGAGATCTTTCTTTTGTTACCTACCAGCCCTGTGCTCTGGGGGAGCCAGGGAGTGATATTCATGGAAAACCATTCCTCCTCCCCCTCCCCCCCAGGTCTCTGCTAGAATCAGACAAAGCAATGAAAAGGCCGGGGAAGTCACACCTAAACTAATTAAGGAAATACACCAGCCTCATCTGCATTGAAGATAGAACTCATTAGCATACAGAATGGAGACCAGCTCTTCCAAGGCAGGAACCACAGTGAACTATGGGATACCGAAAGCAGAGAAGCACTGCCTGATGGGAAATCTCTGCTCCAGATGCTAATGAACCCAGACCTGCTCACACCCAAATTAGTCATCAGACCAATTCTAGTAACGATCCTATTGACATCCAAAACACTGAAACTGCCCAATTGCAGTGTGAGCTTGTTCAAGGAACATCACCCCTAACCAGGGGTGACCAGTCTCTATTGTCTCTCTCTGAACTATTGTCCTATCCCTATAAAAACTCCTACTCTTGCCCAAGAAAAACTGTTCTGATACCTGGATTTAAACTGCATCAGTTCCATTGAGATGACTTTATCTCCTGTCTGATCATGCTGGGGGCTCTGCTCTGCTTGTCTCCTGCCCAGTGGACCCCTGGCTACCATCACCATTTGGGAACCCCGATCAGTGCAAGCGCCACGGAGTGGTGAGGTCTCTCTTTTCCTCCCCCCTCCCCATAACTACCTCTCTCTAAGCATAGCCTCCTGACTGTTCCCTATATAAACTGTTATATGGTTAGCTAGCCCTAACATTTGTAATCAGTTCAATTTAGATTTAATATTGTAACTGTTAGAGTTAATAGGAAACCAAACACACAACAGTTACACTATCACTACCCAGAAATAAATAACTTTCATTGTTAAGCTGGTTGCTTCTCTTTCTTTTTCTCTTTCATTCACTCTTCCTCAAGGGGTGTTGTTTTGGCTTCCCCATTCGCTCTGCAACAACGCTTCTTGTACCCAAGCTAAAATCCCTGTAGTGGGGGAAGGGGCATGAAGAAATTTGGCAGTATTTGCTGCAGAATAAAAGATTTCCAAGCTCCTAAAACCACTACAGCAGCAGTTCTGAACCTTTTTCGGTCCACGTACCCTTTGGTCTCAGCTAATACATCGCGTACCCCTCTCGGTAACAAGTTTTTTATAACTTAATGAGAATAATCAAAACTACGGGTATCTTATAAGACATAAGTATCAGTAGATTTTCGTTTTAAACAAACTTTATTTTAAAAATAAAACACTAAAAATTGCACAGAATGTCCATTTACAAATGGACAAACCACACTAGTCTCACTAATGCGAACATTGCTTCTGCTTACTATTAACCAACACTTCTATTCTAGGCGTTGTTTTTTAGAGAGCCACACGCATATCATGTTCTGTATTTAATTTGTTCCTCGCTTTGTTTTTATCAAGGCAAGCACCGAAAAGGTAAATTGTGACAAATGGAACTATAACTTGGTAAGCTCGTTTTGTTAGAATGGGAAATGCCTCACCAAGGTTACACCAGAACTGGTACAGTATCATTGATTCGAAGTCAACGCCAAGTTTTTGATTATTTCTCAATTTGAGAAGTTCGTCTTTTGCCAGGTAAATATCACTAATTTGTTCAAGAGACACTGTGAAGGGGCTCCTCACCCAAATGTCAGCTGCCAAACCAGTTGGGATAATTCCATTGATGGTGATTTCAAGGTTTTCCAAATGTATAATAATACTTTTGTGAACTCTTGGTTCCACTGGAATTGGCTGTACTGCATCTGAAGTGATTTCATCAGAGAGGAAAACTGGCGAAGTTACCACAATTCACTCTTCTTCCCCAGAGAGTTAATTTCTCTTTAAAGGATTTGATCTTCTCTTCGGCCTCCAAAGTATTCATTTTACTACCTTGGAGTGAAATGGTCAGTGAGTTTAGGATTCCAAATACATCTATAAGGTGATTTCCTCCACCACTTGTTTGAGGATATCTTCTGACATATCCTTGATTCAATCATGAATGGTATCGTTTGATAATGGGATCCATGCTATTTTTGATTTTGCTTCTGTACCACACATTAATTCAACCATTTCGATGGCACACGGTTTCACCAGGGTCTCAGTGATAGTATGGGCTTTTTTTCTTTGGAGATCCGTAATGCCACCTGATAACTAGCCTCCAGCGCTGGTTTCTTCATGGGAGTAAATCCGTGCTCGACAAGAGTGCCCTGTGATTCAAATCATGCTCGTTTGATTTTAAAAACAGCCTCTGGGTCGTTAACATTTTGAGGATGAACAGTCTGCAGATGTTCTTTAAGTTGGATGGCTTCATATACCCATTACTGAGTACCTTTGAGCAAAAGAAGCACAGGTCTCGTTAGTAATAAATATAGCAAGAAAATGCATGAAAAATATTTGAAAAAATGTAGCAGTACAAATAAACATACTATCTACTACCATACGAAAAAAACCACTAAACATAATACACACCTTTAAGTAATCCACAGTGAATTTAAGAAACAGTTGTAGAATACACTTGTACGTGCTTACGTCTGTCATTAATAAAGAGCATCTGACAGTTATTTCTGCAACAAACAACAAAAGTCGACTAGTACAGATTAGTTTACCAACGTTGGTAACCACAACTATGTATGCCTATGCATCGGATCAGGTGAGAGCTGCAAAATAATTAGGTAGATGTTTACGCTATCATGAGTCAACTATATTACTCGCTATATTATTTTCTTAGAAAAATAATTTTAAAAACTTAAATTCATTTGTTTTTTACATAATTTTTTTAGTATTGTATGATTTTTTGTATTGAAAAAATCACCTATACTTGAACCTCATGTACCCCCTGACACGACTTCTCATACCCGTTGGGGTCTACGGACCTCCAGTTCAGAGCCTCTGCACTACAGGGTTGGATTTTTTTGGGTTGTGTGTGTGAGATAAATTAGGCGAGGGCTGGTCTTACCATGAGGCGAACAGAGGTGGCCACCTTAGGTGCCAGGCTGTGGGGGGACGCCACTTGGACCCAGAGTGTAGAAAATGGTGTCTGCTGCTGGTGCATATGTGTTGTCTCTGCAGTACCATGAGAGGAGTAGAACAGGAAGAAGACAGAATTGAGACCTTTCAAAGTTTTAGCTCAAGCGAGGGAGTATGGGGGCATCATTTGAGCTCCCCGCCTCAAGTGCCAAAGAGTCGTGGGCCAGCCCTGAATTAGGCCATTTGGAGACCACCCAGCAAGCCTACTTTAGGTGACGCACAAGGTCTCAAACTGCTGCTGGAATTATAGAGGAACCTGGCCCAAAGCTTAGAATATTTCCTTTCACTCTGATCTATTGCTGCTTAGTCCCTCGATCTGGAGTGAAGATTTTCTCCCCTTATGTCTGAGGAAGCAGAGACAGTTGCTCAGATTGGGGCATTTGCCAGGGTGTAGAGAAGTTTTTGACTGACAAGCCTGCTGCTTTATTTAAGAATGCATTCCCCTACTTGAATTTTCCTGCAGGATCGCTCCTGATGTCAGTGTGATATACATATGTGCCGTTCTCTTCCTCAGCTCACTTTCAGAGTAGGGCTAGTTAGAACTTAT